AGCGATGTGTGTGTGTGTGCCATTCTTATAGTGTGAGACTGATGAGGTGATGAGAGACAGCTGATTGCAATTGATGATGAGTCCGGGCAAAGGATTATGGGAAATGGAGTCTGGGGTGAGTGGTAAAGGGTACAGGATGGGGTGCCCTCTAGTGGAGCTCATGGGCACTCCAGCTAGAGATCGTGACATATGTACTGTTACAAATCAAATTTTTTTCAACAAAAGCCATCTTTATAATGCAAAGGTGGAACAGCATTTGTATCCAACATGCATTTATGTTTATTTCCACAGATTGTTTAATGCTACTCATGTACATGCATTTACACAAAAATTGCATAATATAGCCTATAAATGAAAAAAAAAAAACATCATTATAATTGCTCTTAATATTGTAATAATGTTGAGTAATAGAAAGCTGGATATGCTGTAGCATGGAAAAACAAAAAGCATGAAGCTGAAGCACTGAAGCTGCAAAATCTATCTGTTCCATCTTTTCTGCACTTTGTTGTTTATGATGATGAGAGCAGAATTCAGTCAGTGAGCACACACTACGCTCTCCACAGTGACGAATTAAAACACATTCGACATTGCAATTATAAGCTCAACAGAATCGTGTGAGATTGGTTTTAATGCTCAACGCTGCAAACCGCATGCAGACAGAAATCATCAAGCAGCGTGAGCACATCTACTGTAAATGTGATGCCGCAATCCACACGTTTCATTCGCTTACACATTTCACTGTCATCATGACAGCTGTAACAGGTCTAGTTTAATTATGCTGGGGCATTTCTGCTCATTATTCCTGACCTTGGCTTTGGAAATCAGGGACACTTGCACTGATTTTATTGTTTATGCACCTTTTCTCTTGTCTGTGTCTCTCAGGAGGAGCTCCAGACATCCCAGAAGATAAAGTGTTTGAAGGATGGAGGATACGAGCTGCAAAAGTGAGTACTGTGTGTGAACATGAAACAAGAAGAAGCTGGCAAGACAGTGGAGTTTCTGTTATGAACATTATTTTCCTCTCAGTACTGATGCGAGGGCTCCCTCTGGTGTGCAGCTCAAGTGTTACAAACCGATTTTCTTCTCTGTTAACCATTTAATTGATCTCAAAGGGAGATTTCCATCATTTCACGTATCACAAACTCGTTCTCTAACAGTTTATCCCAGTAGTTTAATTCCAGTGAGAATCTAGTTGGGATTCAGACATGTGTTTTTGTAGACAGAAGCTGTGAATTAATAGTTTGGTGTCAAACACACAAAACGGTAGTGATGGGAGAAACACACCTTGAATCAACTGAACCAACTGCTTCACAAAATGTCACAAAAAATTTCGAAGCGCTCAAAACACCACACACTGCTTACACCTGCTGGTCAAAACTGTGTACATGCAACAAAAACTCAGACCAAAATATGCATAAAAACAGCTTTTACAAACCCATTGCAAATGTTTTATTGAAACTATAACATATGTGACCCTGGAGCACAAAAGCAGTCTGAAGTCGCTGGGGTATATTTGTAGCAATAACCAACAATACATTGTATGGGTCAAAATGATCCTTTTTTCTTTTATGCCAAAAATCATTAGGATATTAAGTAAAGATCATGTTCCATGAAGATATTTAGTACATTTCCTACCGTAAATATATCAAAACTTAATTTTTGATTAGTAATATGCATTGCTAAGAACTTCATTTGGACAACTTTAAAGGCGATTTTCTCAATATTTAGATTTTTCTGCACCCTCAGATTCCAGATTTTCAAATAGTTGTATCTCAGCCAAATATTGTCCTATCCTAACAAACCATACATCAATGGAAAATGTGTACATGCAACAAAAACTCAGACCAAAAAATGCTTAAAAACAGCTTTTACAAACCCATTGCAAATGTTTTATTGAAACTATAACATATGTGACCCTGGAGCACAAAAGCAGTCTGAAGTCGCTGGGGTATATTTGTAGCAATAGCCAACAATACATTGTATGGGTCAAAATGATCCTTTTTTCTTTTATGCCAAAAATCATTAGGATATTAAGTAAAGATCATGTTCCATGAAGATATTTAGTACATTTCCTACCGTAAATATATCAAAACTTAATTTTTGATTAGTAATATGCATTGCTAAGAACTTCATTTGAACAACTTTAAAGATGATTTTCTCAATATTTAGATTTTTTTGCACCCTCAGATTCCAGATTTTCAAATAGTTGTATCTCAGCCAAATATTGTCCTATCCTAACAAACCATACATCAATGGAAAGCTTATTTATTCAGCTTTCAGATGATGCATACATCTCAATTTAAAAAAATTGACCCTTATGACTGGTTTTGTGCTCCAGGGTCACATATTACATGCAATTAACATCATCAAATACCATTAAATATGAAGTGCCTGTATAATATGTTATTTTATTAATTTGCAGGGCTTGTTTTGTTTGTTTTATGGAGGGCTTTTCTAAACAAGCCATTAAGAGACTATTAACCACTATTCTTCCTTTTACACAAATGTCTCATTACAATGTCTACAAATTGATCAAACTGATCTGAGATCAGGTAAAAAACCATATATAATGAAGACATAACGAAGCCTCGTTTACTGAAATTACATGATTTTGTCAGTTTTATACACACGCCAAACCACTGCTTCAAAACAAAAGGGTTGCCAAGGTTTCAAAGCCTCATGAAGCAGTGCTTCGAGACACCCATCACTACAAAACAGGCAAAAATAAAAATTTCACTTTAGTAGTATTATCACTAATTCATAGCAGTAATCGGGAGTTGCCATGTTATTCCATTGTGAATAGAGGTGAAGGAACAGATCTGGCTCACTGTAATGGATGGCTGGAGCTGGAGACTTGACTAGTGATCGGTTGGATTAAATCAACATGCTCCTCCTGAGCTCCATTTAAAGTCAATAAATTGTGTAACCTATATATATAGCTTTAATATATATATATATATATACACTCTAAGTAATGGTAAAAATAAGAAAAAAAACTGTCCTTGCATGTGTTTGCGTGTTGCTTGCATGTTCATCTCAGCGTGACAGTGGAGCTGTATTCCTGTGAGAGTGAAACAATGTGGTTTCCCACCATCTGTTTTTTTGACTGTGAAGTAAACAATACTCATTTCAAATATTAATTAATTTGCTAAAGAAAGTTAAATGTCAACATCATCATTAAAACACTAAACAGATTTTTAAAAATGTAAAAAAAAAAAAAAAAAAAAATTAATTGTAGAATAAAAAAATTAATTGTAGAATGTGCTTGTGTTGTGTGAATGTGTTTGTTTTAGTCATCAGATGGTGACAGACATGGAGAATAACCTCACAGTGAACACACATCCACTGGAGAGCACAGTACTGATGTGAGTATATGATCAATATCTCCATCACTTATACTGCAGATATCACATTGCCACGGGTGATTATCATTACCGGTGCTCCACTGTCATGGGGGATTATGGATATAACAGTGGACTAAATTTTTGCTATCACTTTATCATGGTATTCCTTCGTTAATTTGCAATTAGTTATTATAAGTAAATATAGCTATTTTCAGTAATTTCTGTATTTTATTGTTATATGTGATTATAGGTGTTTTATTATCAGTACCTCCTCATGGCTTCAAAATTCACAATAGTTGTGTTAAGATCTTCATGATGAACAAAATGTGTAATAATTAGGGATGTAACAATTGCTGGTTTGATGATAAATCATGATAAAATTCCCCACGGTTAGTATTACCGTTTCATATTTTAATTATCATTAAAACCGTATTAGATTACCGCAATTTGAACAACTCAGGATAAATAAATACTATCCAGCATAAAGCAGAGATTTAAGTAACAGCAGAGCACGCAGAGTAGCCTAGTTTTGTTTTATGTGAAAATATGGCGGAAAGCTGTGAGGTTTTAAACGAGTGCTAAGGCAATTATACAAATGAATATATGAATTAATTACTGTATATGAATGTACCTCTGAAGATTCTGACTGTCTTCAGAAAAGATTGGATGGCATTTTGTTTTCACCTTCGCTCCGTGTAATAGCTAATAAACTATGTTTTAGTGTTTATGCAAACAAAAAGTCATTTTATTTGTTCTTTGTTGTTTTTAAATATAAAACTTGGTGAAACTGAATCATTTCCAAAACATTTTAACAATACCGTGATAATACTCATAACCGTTATAATTTTGTTCACTATAATAGTGATAAGACATTTTCATTCCATTACATCACTACACTGTAAAATAGAGTGTTAGCAAATAAATCGTATCTTTGCTCGTGTTATCCATCAGCATCCAGCATGACTGGCGAGACTTCCTGCTTTATCCACTGTTGAGTTAATTTGTTTATGGCTGTTTTTACAATATATGTAGTTGCAGCTTTAGAAGAACGGTTCATGCCGTATTCAGGAGTGTGTTATAGACAGGTTATGGCTGGAAATGGAAAATATATATATATTTTTGGTGTGTATTGCATGTAATCATAAGCACATTAACATGTGACCACACACTTACATGCCAGTGACGTTGGTTGAGTGATTAGAAACTTGGGCTGTGTCTGAAATCTCATACTCTCTGAGCAGGTTTCTTTTGATTCATTAAACAAGCATGTTCTCTGTAGTATGAATGTGTGTAGTATGAACATAATCTGAACATCCGTGATGTTGTCATTGTCATGTGATCTGCCAACATCAGTTGTGTCACTTCACTGCGATTCACAAATCCTCTCCCGTGGCCTCAAGGGATAGTACAGTGTCCATCGGATGCACACTTTAGAGTCTCGTTGGAAGTAGCTGGTCATCCCAGCACTTTACATCTACTGTTTTATTAACATAAATTTGGACATACTACTGTTTATATAAGTTCCCTTTCAGTCAGTTACTCCGAGTCACGTCGGTGACAACGAATTGGGATCTCGCTTCGAGAGACCAATCTTTTTCGAGTGTAAACTAAACGAGCCAATGCACATTGGCATGCGATGATTGCATCCAGCTCCAGAGAGTCCGTACTGTAGACCAGTTCCGATTCCGTTCGTTTTCCCAGTGTTATCCAATCTCACTGAGTGGGTAGCAGAGTGTGTGAGCGGAGCGTGGAGTGGAGCGGTGTGATTTTGAATGGAGCGAGGAGAGGATTTTTTAAAAGTCGGAGCGACATAAAAAGGCAGCAGGTGCAGCGCATACCAGCTTTTCACTTCGGAGCCGAGCGACATCATTGTTCTGCTCCTGCCAAGCTTCGTGCGAGAATGACAGGTTCACGACGGTGGTCGTTCCTGTGTCGAGTGGGTTGCGCACTTCAGGCAGCACTACCCCCTGTTGTGCTGCATGCGGCCATCTCCCCTGTGCGTCTCAGCACCTAAAAGAGCATTTCCCTAAAAGAGCATTCACGGGTGTGTCTTTTTAAAGATGACGTTGCGTCTGGCAAACTCACCATTGCGGCTTTGTAAAGACGATGTTGCGTCTTGTTATAGACAACGTATCACCTTTGCGTTTCTGGATGTGGTCGTTACCTGGCGCCGGGTGATGGTCATGATTGCTGCCTCACGTGCCTGGGCATTAAGCACGCTGAGGGGGCATTCGTGGATGAGTCATGTTCTCATTGCGGGAAGATGATCATCTCAGAGTTGCGGGCCAGGCTCTGTTACCTCGAAGGGGGCGGAGCTCTGTTGCCTCTCGTCCTGGCTGCAGCCAGGCGAGGACTACTTCAGGCGGTGGCACAGGTGGTCTGAGGGTTACAGTGGTGGCAAACCCTCCAGGGAACCAACCCTCGAGGGGCCATCGCTCCTCTTGCGCTCCGCAACAAGTTGAGCTGCTTAAGGAACGTGCTGGGCCCTCTACAAGGAGCGTACCAGCAGTATCTTTTGGCGCTTCTCCCAACGATCAGATGTTGATCGCTGCATCGGAGGGTGAGCCGGAGCTTTCTGGAGAGGAAGATTCGGCTGCGCTGCCGCCCTCAGAGTAGGCAGCAATGCCTGGGTCAGATCCGGAAATGATGGCTATGCTTTCCCGGGCCGCTGAGAGGGTAGGGCTCGAGTGGAAAGCTCCACCGCGTCCCGTGCCCTCGAGGTTGGACGACTGGTTTCTCAGGGTAGCTCCCGCTGGTGCTCAGCGCCCTGCCCCAGTGCCTTTCTTCCCGTAGGTGCATGAGGAGCTTACCAGGTCATGGACAGCACCTTTTACTGCCGGAAACCGACCTGCTAGCTCCTTCTCCCTCACCACCCTCGACAGTGGTGCAGTTAGGGAGTATACGGGCCCCCCCCCCCGGGGGAGCAATCGGTTGCGATGCAGTTGTGTCCTAATACTTCCTCCATCTGGTGGGGCAAACCGTGCCTCCCCACCCAGGCCTGTGGGTACTTGTCTGGTCTGTCCGACGATTCTTATGTAGCCTGTGGAGAAGCTGCCTCCACCTTACACGCTACGGCATTACTGCAGGTTCTTCAGGCTAAAGGACTGAGGGATCTGCACGAGGGTGGTCACGATCCGGAAGTTCTGAAAGAGTTCCGAACTGCAACTGATCTTGCGCTCTGAGCGATGAAGGTCACCGCGAGTTCTATGGGTCATGCGATGTCCACACTTGTGGTCCAGGAGCGCCACCTCTGGCTGTGTCTGATCGACATGAGGGATGCCGACAAAGTTTGGTTCCTCAAGGATGGGCCACCAACTGCACTGGCATATCAGTTGCCTAGAGTTGTTAGCGGTGCGCCTTGCCTTGAACCGTCTCAAAGGGTGCTTACGAGGCAAGCACGTGTTGCTCCAGTCGGACAACAATGCGACCGTTGCGTACATCAACCAACAAGGTGGTCTGCGCTCCCATTACATGTTGCAACATTTTTAAAGGCACAATATGTACTGTAAGTTTTCATTGCTAGAGGTCACATTTTTAAAACAATAAAGGCGAAACTTGATATCACTCTGAAGGAGAGTGGAATGATGGGAGATGTCGTTTTCCCCATCCAGAGATGGGGAATTCACAAATCATGTTCACAGATGAGGTAATGACCCTGATAGCAAGCAACCATTGAATCAATGTTAAAAATAGTTGATCCTTGCCTTGAACCGTCTCAAAGGGTGCTTACGAGGCAAGCACGTGTTGCTCCAGTCGGACAACAATGCGACCGTTGCGTACATCAACCAACAAGGTGGTCTGCGCTCCCATTACATGTTGCAACTCGCCCGTCACCTCCTCCTTTGGAGTCGGAAGGTTCTGAGGTCACTTCGTGCCATTCACATTCCGGGTCTGCTTAACTGTGCGTCATGAGTCATGAGCTGCGCTCCCGGGAGAATGGAGACTCCATCCCCAGACGGTCCAGCTAATTTGGAGACGTTTCAGAGCCTTTCAGGTAGACCTGTTTGCCTCCCCAGAAACCTCTCACTGCCAGTTGTTCTACTTCCTGACAGAGGAAACACTCGGCACGGACGCACTGGCACACAGCTGGCTGCGGGGTCTGCGCAAGTATGCGATTCCCCCAGTGAGCCTTCTCGCACAGACGCTATGCAAGATCTTTGTCTGTTGCGGAGGCCGGCAGAAGGGGAAGGCCGTCTCCAAGCAGAGGATGGCCCACTGGATAGTGGATGCCATCACCCTGGCTTATCAGGCACAGGGTGAGCCCTGCCCGCTCAGGTTGCGAGCTCACTCTACTAGGAGTGTTGCATCCTCTTATAATCAGTAAAGCTGTCTATACACGGTTTGATGAATGAACTGTAAGAGGCAAAACTATCTCCTCATGAAACCAAAACACCAGGAACTCGCACAAAACAGATGCCATGCAACAAAACAATAAACTTTCTAATCTGAAGAGAATATCTACTCAACTGTCCCTTCACCCATCCTTAAGCCCCCCTCCTTCCCTCCTGGACATATGGATCACTAAAAGCTGACTTAGAAGTGTCAAGAGCTCAAGTTACTATACTTACATACTGCATTTATTATGTCTTAATAATTCATGGTCTTAACCCTTTCATGTTTGGTCTCGTTCTAAAGGTCTCTGTGCGATTGGTAAAATGGTCTCAGTTTCACAGCAGTCACTTACAGTATGTTGTGATAAAGATTGAAAACGTTTGTAGAATTCTGTTCTGCTGCTGAGGGGTGTGTCCTCCTCAGGGTCTGTGAGAATGTTTTCCTATCGCTGGTCAGATGTGACCCTTGGTCATGAGATCCTAACAAACCAAAAGGTCTTTTTTATGTTTTAAATTACAGCTGTTTTGAAGATTTCTTTGTTCTGGTCTGGGTATATAAGTGAAATGGCAAAACACTATCTGGGGATTCTGTAACTAGAAAACACCCACACAGTGTGTGTGAGTCTGTGGAGCTCTGCACTAGAACTCTCACTGCTGTGTGTCTCTTTGCTGTCAGTTACGCATCTCTCCCTTTAAGATTCATCTTTGACGAGTTAGCCGCAACGCATCGGTGCACATGTGTGTTGTTTTTAATCTTAAAGCCATGTGAATAAAGGCTTTTTATCTTTTCACAATATTTTCGAGTGCCTTGGATTGATGAGTCTTTTGATGACATAAAAGAATCCCGCATCCAAAGAGCACCGATTTATAGAATTCACACCCCTGCAGCATTTTTTTGCATATTTTTGGATGTATAAATAAATTGTTACATTTGATTTATTCTGATCTCTTCTGAAATCATTATTTCTAGTAGATTAAAGTGCAGTCTGGTGTTTTGGCAAATCTGCGTCCAGGATAGATCATACCGTAGTACCAATGAATGGACTATGGGCTAGCAGGGTGCAGCCTACTTAAAGGTACCCTGTATCCTCTGAGTAAGACCAGAACTGGCGGGTTTGTGTCGTGAATTCACTAAACGACTGAGTGAAATTCTGTGCGATACCAGGTCCTTGATGAACGAATAATTGAAAGTATGGGATTTCCAGAATAATCAAGTATCTAAATTAATACATAATCAACATTTGTGATCAGTTTTTAATTAGAAATCACTTGAAATTGGAGTCAGATGAACACGGAGCTAGACTAAAATTGAAACTAAATCCTGATAAATTAAGTGAACTTTGCAGAAGCGCTAGTAAAAGACCTACACGCATTATACCTTCGCCCACCAGTTGGATTGCATCGTTGGGCCAATCTGGGTGGATCCATTACAGAACCTCTTACTTACATCACACGTACATCTGCACTTTGTTGTTTATGAGGAGAGAATTCGCCAAAGAGGAGAATTCAGTCAGCGAGCGCGCACACTTAACGAAAAACTCCGGCGTTTCAGCGATGACTCATCTGAACTTTTGATTTCATTTTCATTTCATTCGTCACAGCCATAATGGATTAATTTGAACTGTACAGAAGCATTTGTGTTCATGTGTTGCCATA